TTAGTAACTACCTACCACACACACACACACACACACACACACGCATACACATACACATACATACACATACACACATACACACACACATAACACAGATTTACTTTACTGTTGAAATGCTCTCTGTTGTGCGTAGTGAACCGAATGATATGCAAGCGCGCGTAGATATGCACGCACTCATTTGAATACTTTGAAAAATTTTCTTTTTTGATTTCTATTAGATGATGTTTGACGAAAAAGGAAGCTAATTGAAGGTTAAATCGAATAAGTTTAGAATGTTTGACAATTTCAACGAATACCATTTAATTCATTTAATTTAATTCACAAAAAGCAAGTTTTAACAGAACTAATCGAGCTAAAGGATTGTATTTGCATATTATGACTTTGAAAATGGTTCCCTTTTCAGGCCTTATTTCTTTCCGTCCATCGGTCAAGTAGTGTCCTTCCATTCTTCCCTTTTTTTTTTTTTTTTTGCTGACTCTACAAAAGGAACAATTTAGGAAAGAGTGTTTTCAATAGTCATCAAATACAAGCACTTCAATCACAATACAGAAAATGTACTGTATCAAAAACAAAAAAAGAAAAGAGAGATAGACAAGGAACCATTTATGATAGATTGGCATTTGGTGTATTAATTGAATTGAATGAAATCTTTTCTTGTGCTTTTTACATTTCTTTTTAGAATTGAAGTCTTCATAGTTTCATTTCTATTTAGCAAAAGAATTAAATTAATAGAAATGGATGGGAGTGAAGACTTTTGAGATTGTAACTTATTTCTCAACTTTTTTAAAACTCATTTAACTATTTCACTTCTTTCCAATCATATAAAAATTGATGATATCGAAGTGAAGGAAAAATTCTTTTCGCTTGTTTCACCTATTTCCTGCTACCCTGACTGTTTATTTTAAAAACGATCAAGGAGAGCTCAAAATTATCACAGATTATCATCGGTTGAAGTAATTTCCAGTGGAAAATATTGTAGCTGAAGTGAAAAACTTGAAAGATTTCCATTTAAAAGTATCCGCATCAATGAATCAATGAAGGTAACAGATTTACTTATACGTTACAGTATCTTCTCGTCGTCTCGATTATTAGATAGCAAATTAATTAATTAATTCATTACTCAAAAGCATGGTTTGAATTCAATCATTCTTTCCTGATTCCAAATGATAACCATTTTTGCCGCATTTCAATATACCCAACCCAATATTTGTTTATTTAAAAGAGATAGAAGATGAGACCATATGGTCGTATGCTTAAGTACCATGGAGAGATGATTAAAAACTGTATAAGTTGTTCCAGAACATATGTTTCACTCAGATCATTCTTCCTCATCTTATCTTTTCCAAGCTAATTTATTTAATTTTAGGTCAAACGCTAATAGTTCAGATCTTCCTATTCTTTTTTGAATTCCAAATTTGACTTAAAACATTATCTTTTATGGAAATTTAAACGCAAAATCTTCACTGTTAGCCTAATTTCAATTCATCCCATCTTTCAATACTTCATTATTATTATCAAATTCCAATAACTGGAAAAAAAAAAGAAAACTAACATGCAACTATAATACTGAAAATAATTATTTTGAATGAGAAAAAGGTTAAACATCGTCGAGAATTATTCGAATCACTAAGTTGTGAAATCTGTTGTTGATATTCTCAAATGACCTCTTACTGTGTCATTTCACACAGTTTATTCCGATAAGATCTCGAGATCCTGAGTGGCAATAGTACGGTCACTCATTTACTGTTTCCCAACCACAATTCTTCCCATCACCAATTCAACTGTTAAATAAGAATATGTGAAAATAAATGAAGCATTGTAATCTTGACAATGTGAAAAGGTAATTAGTCCCATTTTTATTCGAATACTTTCTTAAATTTCAGTTTCCATTTTTAGTTGACATTTCATTTCTTTCCATTGCATAATAGTGTTAAATTCTAATGTTAAATAATCGTAGGAAGTAATTTAGAAAGGATGGTGATACACCCATACACACACACACACACACACACATACACCCACACACACACACACACATACACCCACACACACACACACACACCGCACACACATACACACACGCACACACACACACACATATACACACAAATGACACAATCCTCTCTTGCGGATAATTGATGAATTAATTTATGAAAAATGATGCTTCTGCTACCATTATTCGAATATTTACTTATCATTTCGAAGTACTTTGGTGACAACTAAAAAAATGTTGGGTAGGACTGAATGGATAAGAGAAAGGTAATCGGCGGACAAGTGAAATTATGGTTGCATACTTTTCTATTATAATTATATTATATCAATCATCATGACCATCGCAACGGTTTCTATGTATTGATAATCATGAGAAACAGCTTAAGCAGGCAAAATATAACAACTTCAGAATGATTCCCAAAAGTTCATGATTTACCTTCAAGCTAAATTTAACTCAAAATTCTTTGAGAAGTTTATTTAATTATGCTTAATTTAGCACATCCTTCATTTGAAAAGATATCTACTAAACTGAATTTATTTCTTCAAAAAGATTAAAGATTAAAAGGAATTGAATCATTTCAAAGTTTCTACAAATTACCAACATATTTACAGTCTGCTAAATCTATTTACAGTGCTCCTGAAAATCTAATTAATTGTTGGTAGCTTAATAAACAGGAATATTTTTCCTCCTCCAATAGATCATAAAGAAATCGTTAACAATGAAAATGCTTAGGCATAATTATAATGTAAGTTACTCTTTCATACTTCGATTTATGGTAGTAAACATGTTCAATAATTGATTACTATTTGAATTCAACCTGAGATAAACAAAAAACGAGAAAAAGTGAGAATAAGATGTAAGGAAGGAAAGGTGACAGGTGTCGATTTATTAATTAGTCGATTGATTTGATCAGTTTTTCCTCTGATACGCTTCAGTGAGTAACGTTTAATGAAGAATAAATGGTGCAAATTAAGGTGTTAAGACCGATTTATACATCAAACTTTCCGATACTTTAGAGAGAGCAGAAGAACTATTCAATTAAGTAAACAAATACGTGCATGCGGGAAACTGAAATGATTTCAGGAAACTCATGGATACGGTAATAGTCATATACAGGATTTCAAAATCATCAGAAAACTAATGCAATGAAAATTTAATTAGCAAAAAATTAGAATTTTTTTCGATAACTAACAGTTTCCGCCTTCTGTTGCAAATGTTTCATTGCAATTTGTCGCTTCTTATCTTTGCAGCGTTTATTTTGGAACCATACACGTATCACACGTGGACTTAAACCTGTAAAGATGTGTTAGTATAAATATGCATTAGTGAAATTTGTAAGGAATTGCTTTAAATTTTGAGAGTTTAAATGAGAATAAATAAATAATAAGTGAAAATATTTCGTATATTCTTAAAACTGACAGCCTTATTGTTGATCAATTGGTATAGACGAATGTCTTGTCAGATTGATAAGAGCTGATCTCAACTTAGCAGTAGCATTGAAAAAATATAAAAGGGTTAAATACCAGTCATTTCAACGAGATGTTCTTTCATCATAGCATCTGGCCTAGCATTGGCAGCATAACATGCCTTAAGCGTCATCAGCTGTTTCTCATTAAGTACCGTTCGAACTCTAGTCGACTGGAAAGGACAAAAGTTAGGTGATGCATTTGATGAAATCGTTTTTTCGAAATTTAACGATATCATCGATTAAAAAGGTCTCTGAACTATACAGCGTTCCAATTAGAATTTAGAACTTGATAAATGAATTTAAAAAATCTCGTGAAATTTCCAATTCTTCCTTTTTCTCATCATAAGAATGACAAAAAAAAAATCACTTGTTTGTCCTTCTTATTCTTTTTAATTTGTGACTTCGATGTATTAAATGTGGTCACAATCTGAAATTCATGATGACTTTCAACATACTAATTAGACAATTAATTTTCACTTAATATATTATCAAATTGTTGTTAAGTCCGAATTATACAGAGCAATATGATAAAGACTGAGTAGTTTGGATATCAATTCAACATTCTAAGCAATTCAAAAACTGATAATTGATCCGCCGAAATCATAGCGATCAAATCATCGGCAGTTAGTTCAAGTGAAATGTTTTGACATGATGATCCGGTGATAATGTTTAACCTGACTTGTTTCGTTTCAAGTTATCTATACTTTCCTATGTTCGGGATGAAACTCCCAGAAAAGATAACCTCAGTTGATGTTGTTCATCTTCCTTGTTGCAATCATTTCAGAGCAAGATAATTTTGCAAAAAAATTTGAAATATCCGAAAAAATTCTTCAATGGACCTCATCTGATTTAGGACTTTGAAGTGAAAGTGGTGGTGTACTTGACATTTGATTATCCAAGCTTGTTAAAGTTGAACCATCCCAGCCATCTTCCTCTTCTCGTCCATAAATATCAGTTTTGATTGAAGATGGTTGCTGCATGATAATATTCATGGAAAATCAAAACAAAGCCGAGAAAAGAAATTCGCAGTAGTCTAAAGCATATCCATAAGCTCATCTCTACAGTGAATATTCAACAAATTAATTATTATCGTAACTAACAGTCATTTGATATGCATTCCTTACCTCAATATTATTCGTATCACAATCAGCTCGACATAATATATCATCTTCACGTTCTCGTAAAACGAATTCCTCTCCAATTGTTAACTTCTTATCACAATTTGAACATGAGAAACATGTCGCATGATAAGTTAATGTTCTTATCTTCATCACCATATCAGTTTTTGAAATATATTCCTTACAACGAATACATTTCTTTGCATCTGTTATCCTTAATCAAAATTTAATATTACATTGAAAAAATTAAAAATTTATTATGAGAAATATAAAGTTTATAATCAAAAAAGAATTTAGAATTCAGTATTGCAGTCTTCCTTCATATCATATCAAGTTCATTGCTTTTTTTTCCACTTGTTTCTTTTCCCTCGAGTCACATAATTTCTATATTCCTCTCTTTATTGTCATTTCTCTTGTCAACTTTGAATCAAATAATGAATAATTACTGGATGAGAATTAAAAATGGATTGTCTATACAATTTCACGACACACAGATAACTTTTATCTTTACTTTCACCATTATCTTACATCAAAAAGTTTCTTTTCAGACATTTAACTTTTTTGAAATATTAAATTTGTCATTTAAATAAAGTAACTACTTCTCGTTTTTTTTTTTCTTCTCGGCTATAAGAAATAAAAATAGAAATAAAAGACGATAAAATGAAGAAAGGAAGATAAAAGAGTGAAATATTGATTAAAAGAGGAAGATTTACTTATGTGAATGAAAAATGTTTGTTTTATAACCACAATGAATTACCGCGTCCCCTTAAATAAACGGGGAAAAAAGGCGCAATAGCAGCTGCTCGAATTACTGCGCTAAAGAGGGAACATAAACTCATCCCATGAATTATTATTCTATTACACATAGGAAAAAAAAAAAGATGTGTTGCAAAAATGCAAAAAAATAAGAAGGAAATTTTGAAGTGAAGAAAAGAAAGAAAGAAATAGATTGGGTAATAAGTTATCAGTTAATCATTGAGAATAGTGTGATAATGTAAGAATGAAAAATGAACAACAAAGAATTTCTTCTAAAATAAGTTTCATTTTTCTATTACAGAAATTATTTTTTTCAAATTTTTTTAGCTTTTTGATGATGGAAATTTCATTCATATTCAAAACAAAATTATGCCTTCTTTTTTCTTTTCAGCAAAAAATAAAAAATGCAAATTAATGTTCGATTTGGGGAGTGACATTTCAGTTATGAATATCGAATAACGATTTAACAGGCAATGTATGACAAATGATGCTCGCGTGCAATGAGATATGCATATTTATTTTTAATAATTAAAAATAAATAAGAAACTAAAATATATTACTGAGATCAAATCCATCCCTCCAAACCCTTTGAATATTTCTGATAGTCCACTTAACTGTATTAGTATGGACTTCCTGTTATTCCAAGATATATTTATTTTTTTTTTCGATTCGGTAGATTGCATACACCAAAAAAGCAAAAATTTAAGCTGCTGTAAGGTATTACGTCACTAAACAGACCAAACCGCCTTCTGTTGTCATTTCCTTACCGATTGGGAAATGATCCACGAAATGGAATTCTATTTTCTTTATTCTTTGCGTGATATTCTTATATAAGAATATCAACTCCAATCTTGCGATGCTTAAATGAAAGCAAAACTAAAACTTCCAATTTCTGGACATTTTAGCGAAAATTGCAATTCCAACTTTTTTTCGCATAAGAACAAAGTCAACAATTTCACGTATTCAAAGTATTCCTCCAGCTGAGGTTTTGTTTTCGAGAAATTCTCGGGAGCTTATGAAAGAAATTTATGAAGTTCTCGTATGCATATTAAAAATGAAACAGATGGATGAGGGAAAGTTACCTAATAACTTCTCAGGTTATAATTATTCAAGGGCTTAACGGAGAATACTAGTCCAAAATATCGGGTAGAAATGAAAATAACACATGTTTTTATTGATAAATAGTCTTTTCCTTCCTCAGTATTTTATCATCCTTTATCAATACTTCAGAATACTTTCCTCTCCTAGACGACAACGACGATGATAACGATGAGGATGACAACGATGACGATAACGACAATGACAGCGACAACGACGACCAGACAGAAAGTACTAAAAATTTCTGCCCTGTTAGACGATCACTGCGACAATACCAAAATAAGGGATCATTTTCGGTAGCTCGAGTTACCTCCCTTTCCTTTTGCAAAAAAAAAAGAATATGAATAAAAATTCGCACGGCATGTGCATAGGTTTGCTTCTGTTATATGCTATATGTTGGATAGGTGAAAAAAAAGGCCGAGTAAAAAAAAAAAGGGATGAAAAAAAAGGAGCGAAAGAAGATGCAAGGCGGCTTTTCTTTTTCCAACATATTATTCCAATTGAATGAATGAATGAATGAAGGAATGAACGAACGAAGGAATGAATGAAGGAACGACCAGTCAAAGGTAATAGAGCTGGATGCTTCTGCCTTTTTGCATAATAATTTGAATAAGGATCGGATCGACGGGGTTAGTGTTAGGCTTACTGGAGATGGTAAAGTATGAAGAACGGTAGACTATACGGCTCGATTCCTTGCTCCAATACAACTTTACTGCAAAGGTATTTGTTGTATTGTTGCTCTAAGCAAGACTGATAAGCATATCAGTAAATAATCTTAACATAGATTAGTTTCTCCGAAACTATCATTGTTTTTTGATCTAAATGATAAGTTATGTATAATGCTGAAATGATTAGATGAGAGTAAATTTAATTATTTTAATTCAATTTTTTAAGCTTTGAAACAAAATTTTCCTTCTTTTTATGAAATACTGCTAGAAGTTCATATGATGTAAATTTTGTGAAAAATAACCAAAATGAAGTGATATGCTGTATGATTGAGTAACAGAACAAGGATGAAATGCATAAATTTGATTTCAAAAATTGTTCTAACGGGAAAGCTTCCTATCCTTTTAAGCGCTTAAAATAATGCTAAATAGCTATTTTTAATGCGAAACATGAGCATACAAACCGTGGGAGAGTTGATATGATTCCTTCCAACTCTTAGCTACTACCGACTCCTCTACACTTCTCTTCCCCCGTTCTCCTGAATCCGTGGATTCTAACAATACTCGACTTCTTCAATTTGTCCTAGGTAAAAAAGGAGAAATAAAGCATTTGTTGAACAAAAAACCTATGAGTGTAGCATTTTGAACCTGATGCGCTTATTTAATTTACATCAAGTGGAAAAGTATCTGAAATATTTGACCTGTCAACCTTACTCATCTTGTGCGCGGGTAAATATTTAACATTTTTTTCGTTGTAAAATACCTCATGTCACATGATCTGCAAAAATTGTCGGATTATCTCATATGGTTGAATTACAGTATGCTGGGATCTCAAGAATTTTTTTTTTAAATGAGTTTGAATTAATTCAGACGATTGTTTCTTATCTTCATTCCGCTTTATAACCAATATGAATGCTAAAGTTCCGAAATAATTTCCCAATAATAACTAACAATTATTTGAAATTGTGAAAAGGTAAGATGGATCGTGAGAAAGAGACCAATTGATGTCATCAAACAAAACGAAGACAACTTGACATGAAAACAACACCTTCTCGAACAGAAACAAATACCGCCATCTCAACTCCCTTGCATAATAGGATGTCACAGCAATTAGGAAATGTCAAAAGGTGTGTATTGGATAATCGATGTGTTGCTAATGGTGGTCAGTTGAACAATAAAATTGTTCTTCTATTGTTGTTATATCACTTTACTATATACTTACCTGGACCATATGATTACCTTAACTATGTTGACTGCTAATTATTTGACACAACTAATTATCGTCGTCAACTACCCAACTATGTACGATGTCAATGACTGTTTAAACGATGAGCAATTTGACTTGAAAGATATTGAGCCGACTCATTTCACATTTCACTATGTTATAATCCCAACGCAGAGAAAGCGAAAGACCAAAGGCTTAGGTTAAATTTGTTTGGATAAAAAAATAAGTGTCACAGTGTCCCATTTGCAATTTCATATATCTTATTGTTTAACCTTTATTCTGCATAATATTGGTTTAGATTTTGAAATAAGCTGAAGGGCTCCTCATTTCATCCACCATAGTCAATTTAATTCTTTTTTTTCTCTCTATTCAAATTTAACTTCAGAAAAACCAAAACATCACTATTAGTTATATTTTCATTCGTATAATTTGTTCGAAATGCAATAAATAAATAGTTGTTGACAAATGTACGGTGTATTTGTGTGTATTGTATTAAAGATTGTTGTGAATTTGCTCCTCACAAGCTGTCACAAATTATTATCAATGGAGATTGTTGATAAGAGCGAGAAGATAATCTCATTAATTACTATAGCTTAGCTATTAAGCATACTATGCCTTGACCGCTTAACAATTTATACAACTGACATGTTGAATTACTAAATGGAAATAACGATGGATCTGACCATTGTTGATCATTTTATACACTTCAATTTACCTATATTACCTCTCTTTACCTTTAATAGATGATAGCAATAGTAACAATGCTAAGTAAAAACAATTTAGTGCTTATGAAAATAAGTAAATTATTGGAATTTGGAAATTCTTCATAGTAATTAATTAAAATGCAGCTCTGAAAATTGAATATGCTTCACGCTTAACACATTCGCATCAATTAGACCAATAAAGCCATTTGTTTGCTTTATCAACTAAAAAAGCAACCCACGAATTTTCCTATGGAAGGAACAAAGCTTATCATATCAGAGAGATATGGAACTTATCAATGCTTCTTTTTATTGCGAACATTAAAAAAATGAAATTTTGGGAGAGAAAGCAGTATAATTTATGTAGAGAAGCTGAAAATAAAGATTAGATTGAGGATAATGTGAAATGAATGAAGCTAGGAGGAAAGCATTAAACCGATTAGTTCCTTCCAAGCTTTCAAAAGCAGATTAGAAGCAGCTTAAAACAGAAGACATGCGACTAGTAATGGATATACTCGATATATACACATTAAGATAATTACTGATCCTGGAGGATGGGATGAAATTACAACAGCTACAGATTTCATCCAGTAATACAATTGTTTTTTTAGGTGCTTTTCAATCTGACCAAAAAAAATCATTTGTAAATTTTTGTTTTGGTAAATTAATAAAATTTATAAAAAAGTTCTTATCTTTTTTATTTGAAATAAAGTAGTAAATTTACTTTGAACCCTATCTTTTATGGGTCAGAAAATGTTTAACTGACCACTGAAAGTAACAAATAGACGAAGTGACCATTTGATGCACAACATGAGATTGGAATTATCTTTTACAAAGAATCAGTTACCACGTGACGGTATGCAAAAAAAAAAAATGAGCAAAAAACAATAAGGAACTGAAGTGAAGGAAATACGTCATTGTAGGATGGAAGGAGTTATCAAGTGGCATTTACAAGTGCTCATCTGTTCCAACTACACATTGCCACTGATACAATACACTCAGTGTTCTTTGCACTTCATCAACAACTCTTCTTGGCTTCTTTTTTAATTATTGGTTAAATGTCAAATAGAAGGGACCAAAACAATAATAATAATAATAATAATAATAATAATAATAATAATAATAATAATAATAATAATAATAATAATAATAATAATAATAATAATAATAATAATAATAATAATAATAATAATAATAATAATAATAATAATAATAATAATAATAATAATAAT